CTCCTCTTCCCCCTCTCCTCTGACTTCCTCTCCTCTTCTTCCCCCTCTCTTCTTCCTCCCTCCCTCTCTCCTAGAGAGGGAGGAGGAAGAAAGAGAAGATCCCCTCTCCTCCCCTCCCTCCTCTTCCTCCCTCTCCTCTCTTCCTCTCTTTCTTCCCTCCTCTCTCCTCTTCCCTCCTCTTCCTCCTCTCTAGGGAGGATCCTCCCTCTCCTTCTTCTTCCTCCCTCTCCTCTTCCTCCCTCTCCTCTACCTCCCTCTCTCTTCCTCTCTTCCTTCCTCTCCTCTCTCCTCTACCTCTCTTTCTTCTTCAAGAGAAGCCTCTTCCTCCCTCTCCTCTTCCTCTCTTTCTTCTTCCTCCCTCTCCTCTTCTTCCATCTATTCTTCCTCCCTCTCCCTCTCTTCCTCTCTTCTTCTCTCTCTTCTCTTCCTCCCTCTCCTCTCCTCCCTCTCCTCTTCCCTCCCTCTCCTCTTCCTCCCTCTTCTCTCCTCTCCTCTTCTTCCTCTCCCTCTTCTTCCTCCCTCTCTTCTTCCTCCCTCTCCTCTTCTTCCCTCTCCTCTTCTTCCCTCTCCTCTTCCCCTCTCTTCTTACTTCCTCTCCTCTTCTTCCCTCTCTTCTTCCCTCCCTCTCCCTTCTTCTCCTCTCTCCTCTTCCTCCCTTCTTTCTTCTCCCTCTCCTCTTCTCCCTCTCCTCTTCCTCCCTCTCCTCTTCCTCCCTCTCCTCTTCCCCTCTCTCTTCTTCCTCCCTCTCCTCTTCCTCCCTCTCCTCTTCCTCCCTCTCCTCTTCCTCCCTCTTCTTCCTCCCTCTCCTCTTCTCCTTCCTCTCCTCTTCTTCCCTCTCCTCTTCTTCCTCTCCTCTTTTCCTCCCTCTTCTTTCCTCCCTTTTCCCTCTCTTCTCCCCCTTCCTCTCTCTCTCCTCTTCCGCCTCTTCCTCTCTCTCTCTCTCCCTTTCTCTCTCCTTACTTCCTCTCTCTTCATTTCCTCTCTCTTCTCCCATTTCTCTTCCTTTCTCTCCTCTTCCTCTCACTCTCCCTTCTTCCCTCTCCTCCTTCCTTTCTCTTCTTTTCCTCTCTCCCCTTTAACCTCTCCTTTCCTCCCTCTCTTCTTCTGCTCTCTCCTCCTTTCTTCCTCTCCTCTTCTCCTCCTCTCTCTCTCCTTCCTCTCTCTTTCTCTCTCTCTCTCCTCTTCTTCTCTCTCCTTCCTCTCCCTCTCTCCCCTTCCTCCCTCTCCCCCTTTCTCCCTCTCCTCCTTCCTCCCGCTCCTCTTCTTCTCTCTCCTCCTCTTCTCTCTCCTCCTTCCTCCCTCTCCTCTTCTCTCTCCTCCTTCCTCCCTCTCCTCTTCTTCTCTCCTCCTCCCTCCCTCTCCTCTTCTTCTCTCCTCCTCCCTCCCTCTCCTCTTTCTCTCTCTCCTCCCAACCTTCCTCTCCTCTCTCTCTTCCTTACTTTCTCTCCCTCTCTCTCCCTCTCTCTCTCTCTCCCTCTCTCTCTCTCTTTCCTTCCTCTTTTTTCTCCTATTTCCTCCATCTCCTCTTTCCTCCATCTCCTCTTCCTCTCTCTCCTTCCTCCGTCTCCTTCTCCTCCCTCTCCTCTTCCTTCCTCTCATTTTCCTCTCTTTCTTCCTTCCTCCCTCTCCTCTTCCTCTTTCTCCTCCTTCCCTCTTCTCCTCTCTCTTCTCTTCTCCTACCTCCCATTCCTCTTCCCCTCTCTTTCCCTTTTCCCTCTCCTCTTCCTCCCTCTCCTTTTCTATGTCCTTCTTTTCTCTTTCCTCCTTCCTCCCTCTTTTCTTTCTCCTTCCTCACTCCTCTTCCTCCCTCTCCTTCTTCCTTTTTCTCCTCTTTTTCCATCTCCTCCTTTTCTCTCTCCTCTTTCCTCCTCTCCTCTGCCTCTCCTCTCTCCTCCGGATTATTGAACATCCAGAAGCAGCCAGTCCAGTGGTGTTTTTTGGAAGGAGGTCAACATTAGCAGGTTTTCCTGGTGAGTGAGCCACACTTGAGAAACATAGACATGACCTGGATTGGCCGAGTCATTAGATATTTGATATCCTATCCTACAGCCATTTTCAACCAGGGTTCCTCCAGAGGTTGCTGGGGGTTCCTTGAGCTGTGGCTGATTGACCTCCCAACTGCTGGTGCCCGATACTTCCAGATCCAATGGCGGGACATGACACCAATGATCTTTTTAACTGTCTTTAAGGTTGGTATTCTGACCACCAATGTAAGGAGACATTGTTTTCACTCACCCATGATGAATTCATTTCAGTTGAGGTTCTGAAGACCAGAAAATTAATTCAAGGGTTCCTTTCAGGAGAAATGACTGTCCTAGAAAAGTGGTGGTTCCACTGTCTGACTTATCTAGCCTGGCTTGATTATTTTTCTCTGATTTTTTTTTACCATTTAACACCAAAATCTCATCCTTTCATCATAAAAAAACCTGCCTACTGCTGAAGAGCCTCGGGACTCTTTTGTTTCTCTGGTGGCTAGGAGAAAGAAACAAGAGTCCTCATTAGTTGGGACATTATGTTCACCCAGCCTGTAAGCTGTCCAACTGCTGTCAGTGCCATCTTAATAGCAACATTGACCCCTTGGCAAAGTAATGCACTGGGGCCCTACCAACCTGCAGCAGGTGTCCCCATCACAGCGCCCCTATACATCAGGTGTCCCCATAACAGTGCCCCCATTCATCAGGTGTCCCCATCACAGCGTCTCCATACATCAGGTGTCTCCATCACAGTGTCCCCACCCATCAGGTGTTCCCATCACAGTCTCCCCATACATCAGGTGTTCCCATCACAGTCTCACAGTCCATACATCAGGTGTCCCCATCACAGTCTCCACCTACATCAGGTGTCCCCATCACAGTCGCCCCCATACATCAGGTGTCCCCATCACACTGTCCCCATACATCAGGTTCCCCCATCACACTGTCCCCATACATCAGGTTCCCCCATCACAGTCTCCCCATCACAGTGTCCCCATACATCAGGTTCCCCCACCACAGTCTCCCCGTACATCAGTGTCCCCATACATCAGGTTCCCCCATCACAGTCTCCCCATACACCAGGTGTCCCCATCACAGTCTCCCCATACATCATGTGTCCCATCCATCTCATCAGGTGTTCCCATCACAGTCTCCCCATACATCAGGTGTCCCCATCACAGTCTCCCCATACATCAGGTGTCCCCATCACAGTCTCCCCATACATCAGGTGTCCCCATCACAGTCTCCCCCCCATCATACACCAGGTGTCCCCATCACAGTCTCCCCATACACCAGGTGTCCCCCATCACAGTCTCCCCATACATCAGGTGTCCCCCATCACAGTCTCCCCATACATCAGGTGTCCCCATCACAGTCTCCCCATACATCAGGTGTCCCCATCACAGTCTCCCCATACATCAGGTGTCCCCATCACAGTCTCCCCATACACCAGGTGTCCCCATCGCAGTGCCAGTTACATCAGAGTTGTACCCCCTCCCTTGTACTCACAGATCACAAATGCTGGTTCCACCTACATTGAAGGCAGCTCCTCCTTCATCTTACCTCTCCCACTGCTGAGACTATGATGAGTTCTCAGTCTCAGTGCCGGCTCTCTTCCGCCCCCTGCTGGAAGCCATCATAGATACTTGGGTACATGGATACATTGATACATGGATACATTGATACATTGTTACATGGATACGTTGATACATGGATACATTGATACACTGTTACATTGATACTTGGGTACATGGATACATTGTTACATTGATACATGGATACATTGTTACATTGATAAATTGTTACATGGATACATGATACATTGTTACATTGATACATGGATACATTGTTACATGGATACATTGTTACATTGTAAATTGTTACATGGATAGATACATTGTTACATAGATACGTTGATACATGGATACATGGATACACTGTTACATTGATACTTGGGTACATGGATACATTGACATTGATACATGGATACATTGATTAATAAATTGTTACATGGGGGCACATTGATAAATTGTTACATGGATACATTGTTACATTGATACAATTGTTACATGGATACATTGATACATTGTTACATTGATAAATTGTTACATGGATACATGGATACATTGTTACATTGATAAATTGTTACATGGATACATTGATACATTGTTACATTGCAGATACACATAAGATGTGATGCAGTAGGAGGTCCCATAGTAATGAAGAATCCCGTCCAATAGCAGAGAGCGAGGATCGGGGAGGTTCTACAATGAGATGGAAAGTCGTTAGAATTGCGGGGCTCGGCGCTCTTTGTTGCGGCAGAACGTTGCTCGTCCTTGATCCCGCCGCACACAATGACATTCCCTCCGCTGGGCGCCATTCATCGCACACCGATGTCACGTTCTTTGTGAAGCCGGGAACTTGTAGAAGAGCCCCACAGAGGGCCACAATGACTGACGTGAGAGGCAGCGCAGCCCACCGACACGCACCGCCGGTTCCCTGGGTAACCGTCTCCATGGAGATGTGTTTGCCGGTCTGTA